ACAGACAGCCTCTTCCCAATATGCGTTTTTGCAATTTACATATATGCAAAAACGCATAAAAAATGTAAATGATAATAATAACCGCACTGATTTTGATAGTCTAAGTGTATCTATACAGGTGACAGCTCTTCCAGGTTGATTTGTCAACTGTTGCTTCACCTAATAGTCGCTCTGTTGCGGTCAATAAAACTATTCATACATTTCAGTTTCCACTCATACTTTTTCCTGCAACGTCCAGTTACTGCTAAAATAATTGTTTCTCGATATCTACACCTGTTTTTTGTGTTCGTCATTCCAAAAATTTTCCCCACAAATGTTTCTTTTGTTTCGCCGGACAACTATTTTTCCTTTTTATCTCTTTTTTTTTCTGACGGTCTATTCGCGTGTGCGCTGTTCCGTTGAAGGAACAGTGAATAGCCCCCTTTCTCCTGTCCGATTCACCACTGATCGTTGTATGTTTGGGTGTGCGCATGGATATTCCGGTTTAAATTTTAATGACTGTAAAATAAAACACAAATGGCTTTTCCTGGATTTCTTGCCGGGCTTCACGTCAGCGCACAGTGTTTGCATCTCGATTAACGCGAAGCAATAAATCACACCGGAAAGCAATAAAGATAAAACTTGAATTAAACCAGGAATATCAAGGCCGTTCGGGCAATCGCTGTGGGAATCCCCTGTAAGAAATGTTACAGAATGATGCTCCCATCCAAAACGCTGAATGTATGCATCTTTGTCAAGCTTTTCTATCCTGGAATTTAATAAGAAAGCGAAAAAAAAGACATTTAATGGGAATGATGTGAAGGTGGCTACGATACAGAAACAGCAATAAAATTCGACTCTATTATCGAATTAAACGTTTGAAAGTGAAATTTTATAACGTTTCCAGTATTTTTTCCTGTTTTCGCCAGATCTACTGATAATAACGAAAGACAGTTCGGTCAGTGGCGAATGACCCTGTTGCCTTAAAATTTCAAATTTATAAAATCATGCAAACCAACCATTAGCTTGCTTTGTAAGCAACTCTAGAAAGAGGAATCCATCCATAGCATTGCCCGCATTTGGTTGATACTTGCTATCAGCCAGACCGCTTCTCGAGTGCCATGCTTTGCGTAAGGACTAAATACGGAGGGCCTTGACTCTTGATTTTAATTAACGTTGCATATGACATCACGCATTGGATGAAGTATGTATCTGAAGCTAGCCGTTTCGAAAAAATTTGGTACTCCTTTCGTTGGCATACGGCGGATGGTGAGAGCGAACTGTAAGGTTCAGTTCAGGATAGGACTTGATATAGCTACTTCTTTCTGCGTGTGACAGCCTCCCAGAGATACCAAAATTCCAAATTGATAGTCTGGCGGATTCTGATAAATTTTCAGCGCAGTTGCTTAAAATCTGAAAAAATTTGCTATCCTTTTTGTTACTTTTTGCTCCATTTTGAAGAATCTGTCAAATTTTGATTTGTTTTAGCTAAATTTCATTTTATGTTGAATTTTTGTATTTCACTGTCTGAATCGCATGTCATTCTGCTTGCTTTTTTGCACCTTTCATCTAAGCATTTTATTTTCGCTTTTACTTTGTACTATTTTATGGGTGTTGAGATACGAAATGGTGAGGCAGTTGGATTTCTGTATAGATTCCAACTGACCTTGCTTACTACGGCTGCACTCTGTCCATGCAGTTTTTCAGTTAGTTCAAAAAAAAAAAGATCATTTATGCGATATTTAGAAACCTGCGAGTAACGCTGTTCCATAAAGTTTAAATTGAATAGGAAACTGCACTGCTTCTTTACAGCTAAGGGACGAAACACAGACGTTCCGATATTTCCAGTGATGCATGTGGTGTTTAGATTGATCCATTATCTGGGATCTTAATTTACATCCATCTCTTTTTCCTCTGTTAAAATGATGTTAAAAGACTAGCTAAAGAATTTTCTTCCCTCAGAACTTTGTGCACTTTCAAACTTAAAACTTTCCTACTTCCTTTTTGAAATGTAAGAGTGGATGTAGTAAATGTTACTTTCAGGTCTCCTCAGCAAAAATTCTCATTTTCAGGTTGCCTCAGTGGAGGACAAATCGCACGAGAAAGGACTGTCAGGATTCCCACAACCATCCGATCAAAATAGCGCCAACGTAGATGCTTATCCACCTGAAGAGCTTATACCATCTACTGAACAACAGCGATTACCAGGTCCGGAAGTTCACGTGTTTTTTGATTTACCAGACGTGTTAAAACAAAATTGCGTGCGTATGTCTCTGTTTTTGTCTGTGTGTGCACGTATATGTGTATGTGGATGTGCATGTCTGTTTGTGATCCTTCTTTCAAGGGTTGCTTACCAAACAAGCTGATTTCTAGTTTGATAACCGAGCATATGCCAGTATCGATTTACCATCGAAGCGAATGAATGATTAGCAGATTTGTCATCTTATGTATGCTTTTCCCGTTTCAGAATTCAATATGTTATGCCTTAAATCTGAAGCTCATTTTAGGTACATATCCAGCAAGAAAGATTGGTTATTTGCCTAGCAGTGGTGGTTATGGACCATCGTACCGACTAAACCAGCCACCATCTCCGCCGGCAACGTTACCTAAACATGCGCAACCTGATGAACCGGAAGAATCTGTTGCTAGCACTGAACAAAATCGTGAAATTGGATTTTCGTACGCCGGTGGTTCGGCCGGTAATTTTTAAATTGTGTACCTTAAGTCAAAAATTCAAAACGCCCTTGGTGTTTACTTTCCGTGAAAGAGGAAAGTGAGCGGGGGTAGCTTGAGTGGCAACAAGTGCCACTAGGAACCATTCATTGTTGAAGCCGCCGATGGCTTTCTTTTTCGAGAGTTCCTCAGAAGAAAGCTGACAGTGAGTTGGTTCCCTTGATGTGCACCGTACCAATTTACTATCGAATGAATAAACGAAACGTAGCAGAAAGGTAAATCATTTCCCACTGACCAGCTCGAATCTTTCGACCTTTAGCTCGGTAAAATTACTATAATCATTATATCATTTGGAAAGTCTATGTATATATATGTATATATATACACAATATATACGTACATATATATGTACATAATTTATATATGTGTATATATATACACATATATATATGTGTATGTATGTACATACACATATATTATAATGTTATAGGAATTTTAAGATATAAGCACTGAATATCCGTGACCAAGAGACTGGAAGAGAATGGAGGGTTGAAAATCTCTGTTTGCTAACATATGCAGTTGTTTATACACTCAGATGGTCCCTTTTCCTAAATTCTCGAGAAATTTAGGTTGAAATTTCATGTTCCTGGAACATATTTAGGGGAGTGCTATTTTCGAGGACCAGTATTTAGAAAATGCTAACAATCACTGGATTTTCAGGTTTTGACAGAAGGGAGTGTGTTAGCGCTTATTAATCTCACAGCAGAAACAAGAGCTTCCCCTAAATTTCGTTTTTCTTTTTAATTTTTTCTTGTTTCTACTTTGTGCGATACTTTTTGTTTCCCTCTCATTTCTGGCAGATTTAAATTATTATTTCATTTTGCTTTTTTGCCCAGATAAGCAGCTTTTTAATTAATTTTTCAACCTATGAAACTAAATTTTTGAATTTTCTGCTCTTCTCTACTTTTCCAATAAATTTTGCTTTTTACGATTAGATTTACCGCGTTTCTTTTAAGGGAAAGGCTCCGATACCTCAGAGCGTAATTAGCTCATTTAATACTAATCCCTGCATCGCATGCGTGCTTTACAGATGAAGCTGGTGCTGGTGGTTATGAATCGGCTACGTCACGTAAACCAGGACGTCATTCGTATCCTAAAATATCGAAATACCTGCCACCGCCGGTTCCTACTGCACCACCATATGCTACGCCGGTAACACCTCCTCTACGAACTGAGCCCGAATTTTCGCACGAATCTGCTCCGGAGATGATTGAAGAAGGAAGCGGGATACCAGAAACTCCTGTACAACCGACTGCCACTACGACAGCTAAACCTGTTTCCAGATATACTGTTCATGTAGAGCTGACGTATGCGACGCCTCTTGCAACGAGTACCAAAACAAGCACAACCAAAGCCACGACCACTGTGTCAGTGCTTTCAACAACGGTAACCGAGGCGCTCACCGAAGAGGAAGCTATGGTCCCCGAATCACTTACCACGCTCAGTTTGCCGGAAAAAGAGACCACGTCGGTGAGCGAAATATCACAGGAAGAAAGTAGTACTTTGTCGTCGAGTTACACCTTGGAATCAACAACGCTGTCAATCCCTGAACAGCCAGAGTTACCGGCACCTCCAGAACCATCAGAGTACCGGAAACCACCGACCTATGGCCCGCCAACTACTATTCGTACATACACCGTTCCGCCATCAAAATTTATTACACCGTTTCCAACATTTCCAAGTACGCAATCAACTATGCCAGCAACACCAATAGTAGTCACCGAAGAGCTTATTACCTCAACTGAAGAACCACCGCAAAAACCTGTGTAAGTTTAATTTTCAAAAGGGTGGCTTGTGAAGAAAAAAGTTTTTTGTCCAAAATCCCTGGCAAGCCCAGCATGTTTCGGTTATGAACTTTTGGCCTTTGTCAGCTTCATGGAATCTATTTTACGGATAAATTTGCAGGCATATAATTCCAACGGTTACACCACTCGAAGCAATTCGGACCTATCCTACCCCTTCCGGTATTGTACCGAATCGTTTGAGAGGTAAACAGTTTTGTTTCGAAATCAACAAATTTTTTGGTTCTGTTACCAAATTTCTCAGCAAAAAGGATTCATTACAAGCTAGAAAAGTTTCTGTTTACTTAGTTTTATTCGTTTTCCCCCAATTTTGCAGGGAAAGCTCACGTGGTCTGTGAAGAGGAAGGTTTGCAATTCCAGATCAGTACATTGTTCCCATTTACCGGGCAAATATTTGCGCATGAACGAAAGCGAGTTCCTCAGTTAGTAGTTTAACGATTGCTCCTGCTTTTTTTCTAATATCAGTTTTTTTAATAAAAACGACATTTTAATTAGTTTACGCTTAATTTATGCGTTTCGTTGTTAACATGCAGTTAATTGATTTAAAGTGGGATTAGTTTGTGGTACCAAGCACAGGCTAGTCAGTGAACTGAAGGAATTAATGATAGGTGCCGAGCTGAACTAATGTCACACAGGCAATTTACGGAATGAAGCAACTATGATTGCTAGAAGAACAGATTAACATAGGATTCACTAACACTAACAATACGAGTTCAACCCAGGGAGGTGCTCGGCTGAGTGCAAGTGAAGTAGATGACTTGAGAATATACACGGACCTCGAACCAACGGATCACTAGTCTTATATAGTGTACACTCCTGCAATTCATATCTCAATCCATTATCGCCGAAAGACATTTCAAAATGTATTTTAAAATTGCATTGGTAAGAAAGCGAACTCATTTTTCCTATTATGGATGGCAATAAAATAAGTCTGAACAAAAAAAACGAGATACGAGGAAATGAGATTTTAATCCCATGATGGAGATAAGGTGATGATAATATAATTTTGAAAAGAAATTCGAATTTTTGCAGTAAATTTGACTATTATAGATGCTATTTCACGTTCAACGAAGCTACCACGGTCAATATTACGCTCCCCTATTTTCAGTGTGGCATACGAAATACTGGTTCGCTTCTCTGCTTTTTGTATACACTTTTTTTAAAATTATTATTAAAATCCGTCTAGTCCTTCATCTTCAGCCAAAATCTTCAGGACGATCATCTTGGTTGATCCCAGGTGATGCAGCATTAGTCAAAGTAGTTGGAAAAGCTTCTTGT